ACCTAATCCTGTTAAGGGCGAGCGGCGACATAAGCACAACAGTAAACAGCATTAGTGTCACCGAGGGCTCTGCGAAGTGTTGGATCGTCTTCATCTGTGGTGGCTGGAGGTTTTCTTTCCTTCGCACAAGATGCTATCGCTGATCCGGCTCCCACCCCGTAGGGCTGCTTATCTCGGTGTGTCCCAGGGCGTTAGCACGGAGCGTGCCTGCTGTGCCACGGGGCGGGGGAAGGCAGCAGGGAGGGAGATTAACCTGCAAATGATTTCCTTGCGCTGAAAATGGCTCATGCCAAGTCAAAGCCAAAAAAAAAAGATGATGAAAGCGTTTTGGAGAGGCTGATCTCAGCCCCATCATGTGTCCATCAAGAAGAAAATCTGTCCCCTTACAACACTTCCAGTTAAACACCCTAAGAAATGAAGCACATCCTTCCTTTCCACCCAAATTAGTCACGTCACTCTTGAAAACGGCCTCATGCTGCTTTCTGAACTTTTTAACCTAGTTTGAACCGAGGACGCTGGTGTCTCCAGTCCCAGTGTCAAGGTACAGCCGATGTTAACACAGCAGGATTGAGCCCCTGCGAGCAGCTCAGTGCACCTCCACGTCCCTACCATGCCAGCAGGCGATGCCAGGCAGTGCTGGCACCGCAGGGCAGCAAAAACCCACGACGTTTCTCCTGGTTTGCTTTGCCCAGCAAAAAGCCAGCAGGCTTTCCCCACAGATCACAGGAGGGAATCGCCTTCGGCAAAAAGAGATTGGAAATCTGTAGAAATGGGCAGTGAGACCCACGGCCAAAGGAACTCCTCCACAAACCATCGCTGGGGTTTCCTTTTCTCCATTTTGCCATATTTCGGATCAGCCCTCGGGTTGGTGCCACTGGGCTGCAGGAGCATGCCCCAGACCTGACGGTGCCGAGCGACATTCGGGATCCGTCCTTATGGAAGAAGTCCAAAAAAAAATAAAATACAAATCCGAGGTGGTGAGGGCGGATCACTCCCCTCTCTCGAGCACGAAGTACCGCAGCAAGCAGGGCCCTTATCTGCCGGCATTCCTGCGCGCCAGCAGCCTTATCGGGGGCCCGGGCGCCCCGCGGCACCTGGCTGCGGGGAGGTCAGCGCCGGGGCAGCCCCGCTCTCGGCTCTGCTCCCTCCCCATCGCCCCACGGCAGCCGTCAGGGTCGGTCGGCGGGAGCGCCGAGGGGCCTGGAGATTGTTAAGCGCCGAATTTTGTTTACTCCCTCTTTTATACGAGCATATTTCACAGGGCTCGGAGCAGGGGAAGAGCCCGGCCGCTGGCGGAGCGAGCATCCTCTCCGCATCCATTTTAGGGCTGCGGCTCCTGCGAGCGGTTATCTCGGGGGAAGGAGCCACGGGGCTGCAGACGGGGCTCTCGAGCGTGGGGCCGCCGGGGCGGGTAAAATATCGCCTCGCCGCTGCCAGGGATTTTTCTTCCCCTTATGAAAACAGAGTGGCCTCTGAATGTCAGCCCAGCCTGCCTGTCAGTTCTCAGCTGCACCATGGGATAAAGCTGCTGATCCCTTTTATCCCCTTCTGGGAGTAGTATTAATAGTATATTCATTTTTGTTCCATTTATAATTCATTACTGCACAGTTATTTGGATTTACTTGCGTTAAAAGGCATAACGAGACAAAAACTTAGCTGGTTACGAGCCTGGGGAGGAGGGGAAGGCGCTTCCCCTCCCTCCGGCCCCGTCGCGCCTCCGGGGCTGGCAGGAGCTGCCGGCCAGGGCCAGGGCCAGGGCGAGCAGGGCAGGAGGGAGGTGGCTTTGTCCCCGAGGTGCCTGCAGCTCCGGAGGTCACTGCTGCCCACGGTGCTGCCACCGGAGCCGCGGGAAGATCCGCGTTACTTCCACGCAGAGTGGCGTGTTCCTGGACCCACGCACCCAAATCTCACCGAATTTCGCTGCAAATCTAGCTCCTGCTGGGTGTTTGGGATCCCTCCTCACAGTGGAAATGTTTGTTCTAAGCAGACAGGGGCATGCATTTAAAAAAATAATAATAATAATGAAAAAAGCTCCTTATTGTTTTGACCTCCTCCCCTGCTGTGCTTTTATCTGCTCGCAGTGGTTGCAGCGCTGGCTCTCCTCTGGGCATTGCAGGTTCGGGGCCAGGGGGGCTGCTCTGCCCACAGCACACGCTCCAGGAGAGGCCCAGATGTTCAGAAAAAAAAAAAAAAAAAAAAGAAAAGCTGCATTTTTTTAAACCACCTTTACGCTTTCCTGCTCCTGGGGCCAGCCCCCTGCGTAAGATAAAACAGCCTGGAGTCTGCTTTATCTCACCCCCAGCTGCCCACCGTCCCCGGGGACGCTCTGGCAGGGGGCTCAGCCGGACACGGCAGCTCCGGGCCCTGCTCCCTGTCCCCAACACGGGGGGGACACCACACGGGGAGGGGACCGGGCCCCGGGGACCAGCACTCACCCCACAGCCAGCCGCAGCCACACAGAGCAGCGGGCCCTGTGGTCCAAGGGGCTTTTTTGTTTGTTTGTGTTTAAATATTTGTGTTTCAATGCTATTATTTTTTTCTCGCTCCCCCCCCAAGGTGACAGGCTGCTTTCCCAGGCCAGGATCCGGTGGGTCCCTTCTCCAGCCTGGCCTACGTGGGCAGGATCTTGCCCCCGCAGCTGGTGCTGGTGCCCCCGCGCTGTGACCGCCTGTGGTTGTGTTGCTGGCTCAAATTAGCTGCTGATAGAGGCCTGGCGAGGTCACTCTGGACGGTCACCTCCAAGGTCTGCTTTCTGGAGACGAGCAGGAAGTTTTGTTTTGCAGGCAGGCCCGTGAGGAGGGCTGCAGGAGGAGAGGCCTCTTTGATCCCGGTCACTGAGGGATTTGGGGGCATCTTTGTAAGACCCCGCTCCCAGCCGTCCCCCTCGACCCAGCCAGCCCCTTCCTAAAGGGCGTTGGCAGGTGCAGAAACAAGGCTCCTGGTGCAGTCCCCAGGTGAGAAACCCCGTGGATTTGGGGCACTCTGGGCCTGCTGGGTACTAAAGGCTCATCCTGTAGGCACGGTGATTACTCAGGGTTCCTGTTTATAATGCATACTGAAAATACATTTTCTATTTCATTTAAATGAAGTATTTCCGGTGAAGTTCTGTATGTTCCCAGATAGGGGAAAAATGGCAATGTTTATGTCCAAATTCTTTCCAAAATTCGTTAGTACTCCGGGCTAGATAGTGATCTTACCTTCACCAGAACCGGCCTCCCTCCCCTGATTTCAGAAGTTACCCTGGGTTTGGCTCAGCGTAACTGAGCGCAGAGCTTAACTGTATCCTGTAAAACTTCTTAGCCCGTCCTGCTAAGATTTATCTTATCTGCACTGCTAAAGAAGTCATTGCCTTTCCTGCGAATTAGACAGGAGAAGCACAGTGTGTAGATAAAGAGTTCCTTTTTTTCTTTTTTTTTTCTTTTTTTTTTTTTTTCCCCTCCAAAAGCACGGCTTAAAAAAAGGAGAAATAAAGCCAGGTGTGAACCCCGCACCTCATTAGTGCTGCTCTCACCTTCAAAAAAGGCCCAAACCGGAGGCCAGCCGCCCGTCCTGGAGCATCGCTGGTGCTTCTGCCCTCGCCCAGCCGCAGGAGCAGCACCTGCGCTCCAATTTCTGCTTCGCTTTTGTTCCTGGCACCGTTTTGCACAGCACAGAGCAGGTGGCGCGGGAGGGGGCACGGAGGGGCAGCGCGTCCCCTGGTAGGCACCGCCAGCGATTGCCTGCCCCTTCTGAACCCCAGCTCCCACTGACTTTGTCCACCCGTTGGGTCTGGCTTTGGGGTCTAACCCGTTTGCAGAAGGGGAGCAAAGCCCCAGACACCGAGGGGAGAGGGGGCAGGGAAGCTGCTGGCAGCCCCGCTAACAGGAGCACGGTTTGCAACCCCATTCACACGCATTGTCTGGCATTGTTGTACCAGACACGCTCCATTCACGGCCCCTCTCTTGTCCCCTTTCAGCCAGTGCCCACTGGTCCTGCTCTGTTTGTCGGCAAGAATGGGCTGCCGGGAGGAGGAATGTTTCCCAGACGGAGGGTGAGGAGGTCAGTCTGGACCGCTGGACATGTGCGGCGCGAGGCGCGGCCGTGGCATGTGAAAGCAGGGCGCTCCTTTGAGGGGCTGTGCTGCAGAGCGCAATTCAGATCATGAGATTAGCTGTCAGGTCATCTGCTGTGAAATCCATTATGAAAAACACCCGGAAACTGACGCTTGACTTGAAATCCTTAGTTTGCTAAATTGCAGAAATTATCTCTGGAAGGTTTTGTCAGATACATGTATGTATTATATATTTATACACACACACACACACATACAAAATAATGTTTGCGGTAATGCCTCATGCAAAACGCTAGCTGAATAAATCTGTCACTGAAACTTCAATTCCAGATTACTACACTCCAAGATCTGCTATTATAAGTGAAAACACATCTTTAGAAAGTTCACAACAATCTGAAGTAGATGAGCTATTGAAATGCAATAGAAAATCTACCCCTTACGGATTAGTCAAACAATGAATGTGGTCCTGCACGTAAACATTGTCTAACTGTATTGGCAGGGTAAATGGTGCCTGATTTACTGCTGCAGGAATAGGCGGCATTTCCTCAGACTATGAATACAAATATAAATTATCTCGAGGAAAAATGCATTTCTAATCTGGAAGCGTGGTCAAGCAATTCAAATACTGGTAACAAATCAGTCAATTACCTAATTATTAAACATTTCCAATATTATTATTGGTCTCTGGTAGCAGCAGCATACAATTTGCCAGGAAAGAAATCCTTACTAGATCCTGAAGTACTTTTAGAAGTAGTTTTAATCCATGGACATCCTGAAAAGCCACAACCCTGAGCCAGGGAGATCAAAGAGGAATGAAGAGTCTGTTTTTTTGGATTTCAGAGATGTCTCTTCTTGTTTGTTGTTGTTACCTCTCTTTGTGTTTTCAAACTGCATGCTGCCTTGCGTGCATTATGGATTTATGCAGTAATAACCACGTTTACCTTTGCAGACATTTGAATGTAGCAGCAAAGCACGAACTCCTGACGGAGCGAAAGATAAAAGAAAAAAAAGAAAGAAGCAGAGCAAGGTAGGTATTACTTTGTCTGTTGAGGAAGAGCAGTTTCTGTTTGTGCAGACTATTTCCTTGTCTTCCACTCAGACTTCTCAAAGAGCATTCTCAGTCCAGTACGTTTTGATGGAAATAGCTGAGGTATAAAGACACGGAGAAAGGAAGAACTTAAATTTGTGGTAGACAGAAAGTTTGGATCATTTGAGTGAAAGCCACTGAAATCCTTGCCAAATTGCTTTTAAAATTTATTGTGCTCCCAAAAGACCCTTGGTACCAAATGCAATATGCTTATGTGCCCGTGCCACGATGCTGCGTGCAAAGGGAGCTTTTGTTCACCTTTCTAAAAATGACTAACTTAGGTGAGGGGAGTGGTTTGGGCAGGTTTACTTAATTCTCTGAAGTTGTACACATGCACATGAGCATGTGCACGCACACATACATATAGAGCAGATTTTTAGCGTCTCTTAGAGTATCTGCATCATCCCAAACCAGCTTCAGACCTGACCAAAATAAACTGGCAACAAAAAAGACCATCAAACCAATGCGGCCGTGACTGGCAGATGCAGCAGCAAACACTCGTGCAGGGCGGAATTGCTCTCGCCCGGCACAAGTGGATCATGCAAGTCATGGATGAGCATGTCACCATTGTACTTTTTATTTGCATAAAACAATTACCCCATGGACAGTAGCTTTGGAGTTGTCTAGACAACATGCTTTTGATGGTATCGCTGACCTCAGACACACTGGGCTAGCTCTAAATTAGCAATGAGCAGGGCTGGAGGGATGTATTATGGTAGTTATAAACCATAAGAAGGTATTTAAATAGATAGATAAGACACATGCAAATCTTTTCATTGCCATGACAACCATCTTGATATAGGTTTTCCATATGTAGCAAGAAGGGCAGAGCAAAAGGCACTGGAAAAATAGCAAGAACGTGTAATGATAATGAACCCTGACAGTGTATTAGTCTAGATTTTGGTCACTTATTAACTCTTAATAGAATACAAACTTCTATAGTAATACAGTGTTCAGTGGGTCAGGGAGCAATTACTTATAAACCTTTGCTATAAGGATCCCTGCTATATGGCTATACCTAATGTACCAATTCTTCACAAATTGATCTGACTGATTAAAAAACACTTTGCTATTAGATGTAAATTGCTTAGCTGCTCAAAAGTGCTTTGCAGAGACAGGTTGCACAAAGCATGAAAATATGTCATTTATGGACATCTCTTTATTTCCCTCCTGGTTTTATTGGCTGGGTGAGGAACCTCGTAAATCTGAATTCTGCAGACAATTGTCAAGGGACAGGTGGGACCGCCAATTTCAAAAGGGAAATGTGCTCCAAGCCCCCCAACACGCGTGTCAGCCCTCCGCACGTTACCTGTGTGAGCAGAGCAGAAGTGGGTATTTGTCCTTTTTTATCCATCTCTCGCACAGTACAGATCTTCATTTCTTCTAAGTGCAAAGCCAGTAGTTTGAAGGCCAGCTCACGGCTCTAATGATGCCTCCTGTGGCCAGCCAGGGTCCCCTCCAGCAGCGTGTTTCTCAGATAGATGTGCAGGATGAAAGCAGCCGCCAAAGCTTGGAGCTGGAGGCATCTTGTCCAACCTGTCTGCATCCTCTGCGCTAGTCCCCACTCCGTCTGGAGATGTCGGGGCGCAGGTGGCCCAGGTGGGAAGGACACAGGCTCGCTGCCCCACTTCAAACAGTTCTCTCCGCAGATCAGCTGCGTCGGTAGAGATTGGGGTCTTTGGAAACGAACTGTGGTTAACCTTGCAGGTTTTTCTTTTCCTTGGTGGATCATGAGACTGAGCCCTCGTTGCTGCCACTTGCTGTATGTCTAATGGATGGTTTTGTTTCAGTGTCTAAGGGTGTTCAGAGGCGGGTGGCCTGCACCGTGCTTTCACATTGCCCCATTTCCTTCCACCCTGGCAGGCAGCAGGGTGCCCCCTCCCCAGCCCAGCCCTGGGCTCCCAGGGCTCTGAATCTGCTGGAGCCTCCGTGTCCTCTCCTGCTGCCTCCCTCGCTGACTTCTTCCCATCACATTCCACATAAAAGTCTTGTCCTCCTTGTCGGAGCCCTTCCTAAAATGCTGTCCTTTTATTTATGTTTTCAGACAACAGTTATGGCCAGCAGCATCAGGCTTCTACTGTACAGCTCCCCACAAGACCCATACTAAGCCTCCTCCTTTGGATTCCTTTTGGGCAGTGACACCTCCAAGCCCTTGGAGATGGCGAGGCAGGTAAGGTGTTACAACAACTGCTTATTATTTTTTTTTACTGTTGCTTTGTGTTCACTCTCTCCATCCAACATGTGGGGTAGATGGGAAGCAATTTGGGCTTGCACTGTCCTCACCTGCAATGTGCAGCACCGAGCACAGCAGCTCCAGCTGAAACCCTACGAGTGGTACCGTGGTGCAGAGAATAATTAAAAATCTGCACTCGTTTCCCAGATGAGATACACTCCTGTAGTGTGTAAATCAGTCACAGTCCTGAAGGAATAATCCAGGCAGGATAATTGCGCAGGGGAAAGGCCCCAGGCGTGATAGGGGTTTGCATTAGCAATGCCTTTTCATCCATCTGTCTTCTGACCAGAGCTAGAGAGGGCCAGAATTTGACTTATAAGGATGTTTTGATCAACTGATTATTTTAGTGACAGAGCTCCTGAAGTATACATCCACACATACGCAAGATATCTTACTTGTGTACAGGAACAGCCAGGAGCCAGAGATTGAAAGGTTCCTTTCTTCAAAGATTAATCTGTTTAGGATCTACCAGTTCCCTTATAATCCTGGAGAATTTGGCCATCAGCTTGACTGGGGGAAATATCTCACCATGAGCGATTATCTGCTGAGCACAGTGGAAGCAGAAACAGGCCAGAGAAGAATCTGACTCGGAGCAGACATAAAACGAAATCGTTTATTGGTATAATGTCATTAGTTACTGATTAGGCTAAAGATTTGAAGAGCACTGCCCGTGATCAGCATTTGGTTGTGCTGTTCAGGTGTGCTAGGAGCCCTGCACCACACCTCCAAGGCATATCCCATTTTTTGGAGTCATCTGGGGAAGGTTAAAGGTGCTGAAGATGACTGGTACCAAAAAGGATCTCAAGTATGAACGTGAAAACAATGCAAGGGCAAATACATTTTTCCTGCAGCCAAGTGCATTTTTTTAAGTCCCATGTAACATATGTGCTACTACCAACTACGCCGTTGAGAAGTGTATTCTGAAGTTTAGAAAAGGCATTTCGGTGCTGTGGAGGAGAAAGAGCCTATGGCAAAGTCCACCCGTGTATTTTCTTTTTAAGATCATCTAAACTTTATTGAACACTAAGCGCAGAACTGAAAATGGTTGGTATTGGCACTCTGGGGCATCCTCTGTACTGAAGTCTCAATTTCTTATCCCATTCTGGCTGACAAATTTTGGGGTGTTATTTTGCCTTCTAGATAATCAGATATCTTTTGACATCTGGGAATTTAATTAACAGCTTTTGCATGTATTTAAAGCAAAGTAAACGTTCCCTGAGCCTCTGGACGGTGAGGAGCAATCTTATTTATGAACACTGGCACCTGTCATGTTAATTTGTACAAAGTTTGTGATTTATCTTAAAAGAACACATTACACAGTGGATTTGGAGGAGTTAAAGGGAATCTGTAGGGTGACTTTAATCTTTATGTCTTTATATACTTGAGGGCATTTTACTGCACCTCTGCACTGCTTTCACTACACAATCATTTTCTGCTTTAGAAATGTAGCCATTTGGATCAATAGCTACAGTACAATATATTGTGCTTCTGATGGCAGCCTCACAGGACAGTTAAGAAGCACTGTAGTAATTTCGCAAAATGCTTGGCTACGCTCTGAAATATAGTTTTAAAAGTAAAGTTGGCAAAACATGCGCTGCGCAAAATGTACAAGAGCTCTAATGAAATTGTACTTACCCTACTTACTTTTATTAAAACTAAATTAGGAAAAATGGGATGTAAAGGGATGTTCCTTGCTTGAAACGTGGCTGTTTTAATAGGAAGCGTTAAGCACTAAGGACCAGGCTATCTGCCGCTCCGAATTTGTTGCAGCAGTTTTAAAGTCCCGTGGAACAGTGCTGGCTTGTTTGGAGGGATTTCTGAAGGGGGAGGTTTCTAACTAACCTGATGAGTGTGCGTTTTCCAGGATTGATTTAAAAGAAAGGAAAAGAAAAAGGATGTTAGGAGACATTCGCTCAGTGCACGGAACAAAAAATAAAAGGGGATCTAAAAATATACATCCCTTAAAGTGTTAAAAAATGTATCCTTCACGTTGCGGATTTTACAGTAAATTCTTTATCTATAAACAAACCGGGTTATCACAGCTGTTTATTGTACTGCTAGCCCTGATCCTAACCTTTATGTCTTTATTGCTTACATACCATTGCCTTGTTTATACGTCTGTACCAGCCTGTGCCCTTGAACTTGGCCCCCGCGAGCCCTGACCCGGTGCGCTCGCTCGCTCAGGCGGGTCACGGCGGCACTCGGTGAGTGGGAGACGGGGCCGGCAGGCAATTAGCAGCCACCCCAGCCTCCTGGTGGCCACACTGCCCACAGGCCTCGGTGCTGCAGCCCCGGCACCCCGGCCAAGCCACGGGTTACGGCAGGGAAGCAGAAAGATAGAGCAAAAGGGGGCAGGGGGAAAGGACAGAGGGGATCCCCTTTGAAGGGCTCTTCCTGCCTGGGTGCCAGCTGCACCGCCTGGCAGAACCGCCCCGGAGCAGCACTGGGGGTCGAGGAGCTGGGAGCTGTGCTCTTCAGCCTCTGTTGTTTTTTTTTTTTTCCTCCTCTGGCTGATAAGCTGACAGCCAGGCGTGCCTTGTTCTGATAACTCAGCAAAGTTTGGTTTTCGTGCAGACAAACAGCCCGTGCCCTCCAGCATCCTTGCCAGCAAGGCTTGAAGGGCAGGACGGAGGGGTTAGCGAGGGGATGAGTGGGGTCGGGGCTGCAGCTGGGAAGATCTGCCTGCAGATTGGTGACAAACTTCCCCAGGAAGCCAAAAAGCGTGTTGCAGAAACCCCGATGTCCCGCATGGCGGATTTCAGGGCATAAAGGATTTTGGCTCAGCTCGATGGGCTGCGTCAGGGTGTTTGCCACCGAGAGCACAGCCAGGGTGTGTGGTGGTGTGAGCCCAGGAGCTGGGCTCCCCAAAACACGGGCAGCACCAACATGCTGGGGCAGGCTGCGTATGGTGAGCCTTTCTCACAGCTCCTCACAGAGGTCACACCGATCCTGGTTGCGGTTAGTAGAACGGGATCGTCACTAAAAACAAACCTCCTGGTGAAAACATCTCCGGGTCTGAATCGAGTCCTTCATTTGCTACTAAAAATAATGTCAATGAATGGAAGAATTCACCAATTCTCCCAGGGAAAAGAAAAGATGATCCCATTAACCTACATTACAGCCATCACCATTAAGAGATACCATTAACCTGCAGTTCCCACACTGTCTTGTCGGAGATACTACAGTCATCCCTATAATTTCGAAGACGCTACTGTCATCGCTGTAATTGTGTGGCAACTCCTGGCCAAAGCTGACTTTTTAATAGGGAGCACTGCAGCCAAGTACTTGGTGGATTATAAGGCCCAATCCACATGTCCTTGCAGGAGTGTTTTGGCTGTTGATGCGAAGCCTAACCCAAACCGGGCTGCAGCAAACGCGGAGGCGGCTGTGCACATCTGTGGGCTTTGGATCAGGGCTCCAGAATAGGATGGGGTCCCCCACTGTATAAAATTATAGGATTTTACTGCCTTACAAGGTCACAAGCAGTCACAATAGATCAATACAGAGGCTGATAAGAGTATCAAGAGCTTTAATGACATAATATCGTGTTGTAGGAGATGTTGTTTCACTTTCTGAAGTAACACATACATTTTCAGTGGCTGTTCTTCACACATTTATTGATACTCAGCCACTGAAACGCGAGTGCTAATGAATACCCATATTTGGTGGATAAGTTTAACCAAACATTACTAGTTGGAGAATCGGAATGTTAGTGTTTAATATAAATTATATATATATTTACATATACATGGGCAATAGTCTACTCTCTGAATAAATTCTGTTTACTTTACACATTTAGGCTTCTATTACTAGCGTTCTGGTGAGTTCAGTAATCAAATTTCCTTATATCCAGAAGCGTGATTTTTCCTCAGCTTTTCACTTTATGCAGTCTCTGTATCTACCAGTCCAAGATGTTGTTTTGTTTGTTCTTGTGGTTTTGTTTTGTTTTGGATGGTTTGTTTGCTTGTTTTCCTCAGAGGAAGGAACTGCACAGAAGTCAGTGTAGTTTCGCAGCAAAGGAGCCGGAGTGGTCCTCAGTACCTCATAATTTGTCTTACTTCAGGTTCTTAATGTGGCCGTAAGCCAAAAATTCAATCCCTGTGCCTCAGTTTCGCATCTGTAAGGTAGTGGTAATACATACATTACTCCCACGAGTAGCGTGAGGATATATTCACTATTTGCCCACTGCCCTCAGCCTCTGGAGAAGAATTGTTCCAGGGGAGGCTTTCAATGGCAACGGGCTGTTGGGAATGCACAAATCTCACACAGTCTTAATGCTGGTACCCAGGAGAAGAAATCTCCCTTTTCCTTCCACAACAGCTTGAAAGAGTTGAAAAGCTCTTGGTAATATCACCAAAGTAGAAGAATTTAGTGAGCTTCAGATATGAAACTAGATCAGGCAATACAGAGTCCAAGGTTGTAGGGTCTTGTCCTCATTGGGGTGCTTAAAAAAAGGCAATAAATAACATTTTCTGACTAAATGTGCTTCCTACAGTGCAGCTCCAGTTGCATAAGGGTTAACCAAGCCCTAAGAATGTGGTTGATATATTATCATAGTCCTGATGGAGCCATCAAGGAGTACCAGGCAAACAGCATGTATTTAAAAATGAGCGGTTCTCATACCCTTCCACAAGAGACTTTTATCTTTTTTTTTTTTTCCTACCCTGGTCTTGTTTCTAAAGTTACTACCCAGAAATATTCTTAAATCTAAAATTAATAAATTCTTCACTTTAAAGGCTACAGTAAAACAGAAGTTTTGTTCATATGTAAAGCAAAATAAATAAATAAATAAAATAAAAATCACCCAACAAATAATAAGATGTATATTTTTGTAACAAGGAGTCAGATTTCTAAAAATCCCATTGTATCTTGTAATTTCAGATGAAATGATCCAGTCCTGGGATAAGCAGCAGAGGATGCTGACATGTAGTGATGTGTGAACTCCCCTGTCTGAGCTGAGTATATTTCTACCTTTGCTCTAATTATGAATCACTCGATTCATGTCAGACCACTCATATTTAAGTCAAGCTTTCGTGCCATTTAGACAGGTGTTCTGTAAACACGGGGAGAAACACAGGGTGGTATCTGGAATGAATGGGATGGCTGCCTGAGTGGCTGTCTGAGTCCATGTTCTGTACGAACAAATTAAAAGCAAGAGTCTTTCATGCTAAATTTGTATGGCCCTCTCCATAAATTGCTCAATTTATTTGAGTATTTTCTGGTGGTGAGATGTTTTGGGACATAAAAGTTGATAAAATGCATTAAATAAAACACTACGAGTCAAATTTAAGTATAAAATGCAATTTTTCCTGTGTTGGGTTTGATGTTCTTAATTTAATCCCTGGTGGACAGTAGTCTGCATTACAAAACCTTCACACATAATTTGGCACAGTTTGGATGATTTGCAATCTCTCCCTCGCGCTGTCTGCAGAGGATGCCCAGAGCAGATCCTGCGTGGAGGCTCGGTGACCTCTCCTCTCTCAGGAGGGTGGTCTCCTCAGGTCACCGTTCAGGTCATTTCTGCAGCAAAGTAAGGAAGCTTTGACTGTTTCTTTGCTTGTGTGGGTAAACAGAGGACTTTAATTTCCAGCGCTACTGGTCCCTAACCTTCAGAAGCTAAGCAGTCACTGAGGGGGATGGGGAAGAGATGCCAAAGGAAAGTGCAGAGCAAAGAATGTAAAGAATTTTTCTTATCTGTGACAAGTTTCTAAGTGTGTTTGATTATGGTAATAAGGATACCTCATTAACAAAGGATTTTAAAGGCATGTACACCATTGATAATCAGCCCTGGCCAAAGTACAGCAGACATTTTTAACTTTTTTTTTTTTTTTCAATGGGATATGTTTGAAATCTTGCAGCACTGTAGTGCGAATGTGGAATTTCACTTGATGCTCGAGGGTGGGGCCACGGCAGCTAAGGAAGGAGCTGTATCTACCGAAGATAAAGTCCCTATTGCCCGGCAAGAGATGATTGTAAAACATGCGCAATTCCCCATGCTTCAGACTCTCCCTAATTGCAAATCTGCTCATTGTTTTAACTTATCTCTGCCAGTGCTGTGCTGAATTAGTCTTTTGGAGTCCCTGAATGGGATCAAGGGAAGAGAAGAGGAAAGGAAGGATGGGAATGAGAGTGAATGAGAAACAGAAGAAAGCAAGATAGCCAGAGAAAAGGAAAGGGGGGCTGGGAGGTGTTAAGCATAATTGCCCTTTGGCTTCCTGTGAAATTGTAAAAGCTTTTGAACACCCTTGCTGAACCAGCAATGAGAAAGTATCCCCGCTGCCTGGGAGGCGTCTGGCCTGGTGCTGGAGGGGAAAGGAAAGCAACGGAATTTAGCAGGGATTTAATTCCCCTGGGCAGCGTTTTCCCCTGGGCAGACCCCCACCGCTTCCCAGGGCGGGCCCTGTGAGTGCCCCTGCCCCCGGGCTCTGTGCCTGTCCCCCCCGTTAGGTCTGTTGGGGTCCCCCAGCTCCCCGCCTGTGGGGTAGGAGACCACCACCTCTGCAGCCACCCCTTTGTTGGCTGCCTTGGCGCTGTAATGGGCAGCTGTTGTCACCAAAAAGGGGTGCATGGGAACTCCTAATACTCCTGAGTATTCCTAATTTTTGCATCCTGATCTCTCAATGAGTATATAATCTACAATAGCACGGTACCCCTGCCATTCTCCAGACTTCTTATTAAAAAATTTCACCATCAGACTCATTTGGACCACAGAGAAGCTACTTCTCGCCCCGTGCGGGTTCCTTCTTGCCCTGAAGCTGATCTGTTCTGGAGGAAAACAGCACCATCCATCTTCTGCAGAAAGCTGGACCAGGACTGTTGAGCACATAGCACTAGTATCAGCCCCAGGCTGCAGGGACACCCCAGGAGCAGAGGGGCATCTCCTGAACCGAAGCTGCAAGTTGCCACAGCTTCATCAAGGGCTACAGCTAAGGCTGGAAGAAACTAAGGACCTCCAGCAAACACTGCAAGGGGGTTACCGCAGCCCTATATGCAGGCCCATGGCAATGCTGCTCTTAAGCGAGCCTTCAGTGACAGCAAAATGTGAGCAGAATGAAAGCTGCCTACACAGAAGGTTCTTCAGGCATTTTCTAGGTGTAATTGTTGGGTGCTGGCTGCCCAACCCTAAATGTGGTAGATATAACTCCGTACTTCTTCCTCTAATGCCTTTGGGTTGAAAAACACATCTTAATATCCACACACCTCTAATAAACTAAAGCTGTAACGAGGCCTTTTCTGTTTGTATTGCTCTTTTGTTGTCTCCTATGCGCATTTACCATTGATTTTTGCCAAACTCCCCTATACTGTAACTATGCAGTTATAAACTGGTGTTATTGAGGGGAGCTGAGGTGGAGAGAGAGGATAGCCATAAAAATTACTGGTTGCAAACAAACACTGCAGCTCTATTTGGGCATTTATCAGCAACACCTGGAGATTATTGCATACAACCTTCCTAATCAGTAAATCAGCCAGCCACCAGTTGTTTCCTTAGCCACATCAGACGAAAATGTAACAGCTGTTTAATTTTTTTTTTTTTATGGTAGGAAATTCATATCCTGAATCATTGATACCTTTATTTTATAACTTGCTGCCATTGATTTTTTTTCTCTTTTATTTTCTCCGATTCAGTGCTGCCTGCTGTGAAAGACGGGATGGCTGCATGTGCGAGGGCCTGACATCATCTATCAGGGTGGTGCCTGCATGGAAGCCAAACAAAACTCTCTGGAGCTTTCCGAAGTAAGTTGGGGCATCCCTACAAGTCCTAGGTGGAGTGGGGGGGCACTTGTTAATGTGAGCAGGAGCCAAAGGAAGCACGACACGGAGCTGAAGCTTTGCAAGCTCTAGAAACTCTAAGGCGAATGGCTTTGGTTGGCTTGAGACTGTGCAACAGCCAGCTACAACTGAATGCTTTATTGCCGTCTGGAAGTGTTTATTTTCTGAACATAAATTCAAGGGACAGATTCAAGGCATGTCTAGAAATAAAGCATATCATCATGTGAGCTAAGCTGACAAGGACAATTTACTGTACCCTGCATTCGTTCTGGGCCAATCGGAAGAGAAGAGGCTATTAACATCCTGAAATTCCCGCTGTTCGGCTCTCCCTGTCCCTTCACTGAACTCGGGAATGGCATGTATTAACCCCTTGAGGGCCTCCTGTGCACGGCGCACATCCAAAGAAGGGACACTTGTTTAGGCCTGGTAGACATATGCAGTATGTCCAGCTCTTATTGACAGCAACAGAGAGCTGCTTTAAAAGCCATGACACGGCCTGCACTGTCTGGAGGCCCAACTCAGGGTTAACATCTTTCCTAGAGGCAGTTTCAGTGCTGTAGATGAGCATTGACTTACTCTGTTTAAATACGAGAGTTCACTGGTCAGCTTGACCTTGAATTCTCTTGCAAAGGCAGGAACAAGTTGACATACTGTTCGTGTTTCCAGTGGCTGCAAAGTTCAGGGAATACAACTCAACTGCAGCTCACATGCCATGAGCATCACTTAGAGAAGAGAAAGTTGATTTCCTACTTTTTAAATTGTGCCAGCAAGAAAAGTAACAAAACCAGAAGAGAGTCTGAAAATAAAACACAAAAGGGCACAACAGCAGGAATTGCAGAGGAAAGGTGCCATTCATAGTCAGGAACGTGTTATAATAAAATCCACAAGCAAAAGTCCACAGAGGACTGTTTGCATAGCAGCATTACAATATCTACATGTGTAAATAGAGGGAACAGCCTTTAAATCCATCCACATTGCAGCAGTGACTGTTGGTTCTTTTACCTGCAGCCACACTGCTTGAAGTATTCCTCCTGACTTCGTGGATGTCCTTGTATAGGACATCACGATCAGCCCTATTTGAACATTGCAGCTGAGGGGAAAATAATAATTTGAGTTTGAATATGAGTTTTCTGTGTACTGCACTGCAGAAGGGCACTATTGTTAAGTTAACTGGTCTCCAGCTCCTTCTTTTCATCCTGCCCCCTCTCTGCAGGGTAGGCAGCCTCATTCAGCACAACAATTCTTTCCTGCCTCTTGCTTCCAGTGGAAAGAGCACCTACGCACCTCCAGCCCCTGTGTAAGAAAACATAAGCTGGAGCCTTACAGAGTGTGTGGGGAAAGGAAAACCCGGGAAGAAAACTGTGTCAGCTCTTCCTGGTTTTCTTTTAAATCAAGGCTGGCTCACATGTAGCCTGGTGAGGCTGAAGGCATAGCACACCGAGGCACCCCTGCAGCCACAGAGCTATACAGAGAGGCAGGAGCACAAGCAGGACTAGACACTGGCTCCTGGGTCATGGTCAGCTCCTCAGACAGCCTCACTAATTGTTTATTATTCTGCCTGAGAAGACATGGAGTAAATCCACACATATTAAAACCAACACCCATTCTGCCCCCCCTCTGCTCCGTTTTGTCCCATTTTTCATTGGGCCTTAGTCATTCCTCTGTATTTTGGCACAGAGTTGTGCAGCAGGGTCTCTCTACTATATAGGTATAATGTTCACAGCTGTAATCAAAACATTTGTTCTCCTATCTTCTCCCAAATCACTTGGGATCTCCTTCTCCCACTGAGGAGCCAGTCTCATTCATTCCCTGGCTTTTACATATAGCTCGAGTATTGCAGCCTGCAGTACTAGACCAGAATAATCTAAGAACCACAAAGAATCATTATCTGAAACGGCATATTTTATGCTCTTGTGTAAGTTTTCCTAAGGGACTTCTGAATGTCCTAGTGGGTGATGGTAAAGACACCAAGGACTCAGGGTCATGGGTTTCATCTTTATTACAAGCCCTAAAACACTCAGCACAAAGACAAAGCTGAGTGAATTAACGTTTTCTGAAAACTAAGATACTATATTGTCCCACCAAAGTCCTTTCAAAAATCTCTTTAAGAGCAGAGTGGCTTGGGGGCTGAAAGGATCCGAGTACTGAAATTCATCTTAATCTTCTATTACTATAGAAATGTTTCTGTGCTTTAAAAATACACTTGCTATTTCTTACTTTTAGACTACCCTAATCTCAAATTAGCCTTCTGAGCAAAGGTCAGGAGTGCAGGTCTTATTGGTTCAATTAAAGGAAATAACACAAAATCACACAGGCTATTGCTGAAGTCTTTGTCAACAACTTCCTGAATATTGAGAGGCTGCTCAGACATGAGCTGTCTATACAACCAGATAATGCTGTTATTAGAAACACATTAGTGTGAGATTTTTTTTTTTTTAATATACATGGCTAATAGATACATTCATCTCATAGCTTTCACAGTCAAAGTCTTGGACTAGTGCTTCTGATTAATTATTAATGTTTGTCTTCTCGTTCCTTTTTTTCAGTGTGTTTACAACTTAGCCTTCTCTCTCTCCCTCTCTCTCTCACTCTTTTTCCCAAAATGCCTGCATATAACAAAGCTCAGATAACTACACTAGTAGCTGCTGTACTATTGCTTGTGAATGTCCTTAATAATGATGAAATGTTAAGTGTAATGCACCAATAAATATTTTGGAGTTAAGGAACTGCAGGTATCTGGGGAAGTCACTTTGTGTTAACATTTGATATACTGATGTTATATTGATGAAAACTAGGGCTAATGCATTTGTGTAAAGATCCCCTTTTTAAAGTGATTTTCCTTTCTTTCTTTCTTTTTTTTTTTTTTTTTTGTTTGTGTCCTTGTGCCTGAACATTTGACCCTGGGGGAGTAGGATGGAAAGATTGTTTAAACAGCAGAGAATTGTTTATTTCAATTTTCTCCCTCTTCTTTTTTCTCCTTTTTCTTTTTTTTTTTCTTTTTTTCTTTTCTCCAGTTCTCTTTTACAGGTAAATCACTTGCAATACAGGAGAATCTCAGAAAGTTCAGAGGTTTTGGGGCAGGAAACGCCTCCCCTCCCCCAGAAGTTTGCATTCAACCCTAAATTTATCTGAATGCTGTCATTTCCCTGCTTTTCCTTTTCTACCTCCTTCACTACATTCCTCTTTCTCCCTCCCCATTCTCAGCCACCCAGATCTTATCCTTTCCTTGACCTGCAGCTCCCCCTCCCTAGCCTTCCACTGCTCTAAAATGTCCAGAGGCTACAGCTACCACCTACAGAGGTGGTAGTTTTTCCTGGTTTTATTTTTTAGTTTTTATTCCTGTACTATTCTGTAGCAAGAAGCGTTCTACAATCCTCTACCCTCAGAGGCTGTCTCCCATCAACAGAAGCTAACAGCAGGTCCAGTGGCCCGTAAGACAAAAAGGCAGCAGTGGTACCCAGCAGAGATGGCCAGGCTTGCTCACAGCTTGCTTGGTGCAAGCACTGCCAGAGATGCAGCAAAGGGCTTGCTTAGGCTGTCACTATTTGTTTTAGGTAAAAAGAATTCCAGAATAGGTGCAGAAGTAAAGCCAAATTTCCAGCCTGCTTCCATTTTCTCTGATACATTCTGTGTATTTGCATCACTTACCACTGATCTTGAATGGTCTCTCCTGGTAGGGAATATTTGGAGTTCAGCAAGATTCCTCTTCCCTCAGCCCCCCCCCCCCCTTTTTTTTTAATATTGTAGTCTTGCACTGTGACTATTCTAGTTTTTCCCAGAAGTGGCAGGCAGCCAAAGACTGGAGTCATTATTTGCAAACTCTAAAAATAGAGTCAAGATTTATAGGAAGAAAACAGATATGTCTTGTTATAAATCCATGAATAAGGATTGGCACGAGCATAACGGTTTATTCTTTTTTGATATTGCTTATTGTAAATTGTGCTCTATCTTTCTGGAAGATACACTAGATAGTTACAGTACAAAAACATTTCCTTTAGTTGAAAGTGCTGGAGAGCTGCAGTTTATTTATTGTGAAGACTTGATTATTCAAAGGAAGTGATAAGAGATGAGGTGGCCCCGGGGAATTTTGTACATTGTTGGGGTGGACGGTTTGTTATAGAAAAAAAAAAAAAAAAAAGTATTAGTGATCTTCTGCAGGTCGCTGCTGATAAAAATTACATTCAGCAACTCTTTGCCCAGCATAAAGGTGCCTCACAAGTTGCACTTCTGGCTAATATTGCTTGTTATTATAAACCGTGAACATCACCTTCCTGATCTCACTAATGTTAATAACACCATGCACGCTATCTCTTGCCTCATAGGTTCTGTTGGGGTCAGCAATGGGAAGGAAAAAAAAAAAAAAAGGAAAAAGCACTGAGAAGGAGAGCGAGAGAGGGAGAGACTTTCACAAAGAGTTAAAAAGGCCTGATGAAATCCTTACAATGTACACCATATGGCTTGACATTTACCAGATTAGTTAAACATTTCTACTGGGGATAAATATTCCTGCACATCGATGTAAAGAAATTGCATGAGACAAGGGCACATACAGCATATTTATGCCATGGAGTAATCTTTTTTTTCCCCCTTTGCTAGCAGCATTCAAGGTACTGAACTTGCAGGGGCCAAGTATACTAAACCCAAATTAACCCCCACTCCTGTGCACTCCTGAGCTGCTTGTTCGTGTGGCTGCAAGCACAAACCCCTCCCAACCTCACCCCCAACACATATAAAACTCTCACCCAAAAAAGTTCCGAATGAGCAATCTTGCTATAAAAACAAACAAGCAAACAAGTCTGTAGAGAGGCTAAAACGTTAAAGTTTGTCAAAATCTATTTCAGGACTCGGGTTGCCTGTGGAGAGATGACTGTGATGGCTGCCAAACTGATTCGAGGCTTGTTGATGCAGAGGAGGTGACTGCTGGTGCCCGTGTCTGGTGTAGACTACTCCGCTCCTTGGTGAACAGCCCTAAAGCCATAGATTTCATTTGATCTTTGCAAAGGCTAACATCTGTCTGCTGTCATTTTAGTAAGATTGATGACAGGCTGGGATAGGGGAGGAGGAGGGGGAGAACAGTGGGAGGAAGGCAGGTCCCCGCAGCCCTGATGGCTGTGGCCAAGCCTGCCCGGAGTCACTGGCCCAGACCCTCCGGTCAGCTGCAGCAGTGGCAGGGAACCGCTCCTGCGCTGCTCCAGCAGTAATTGCACTGGGTTGGTACAGCAGATTGTGGGAACTCGGAGACATAAAGGCAGCATTTTGCACCTTATATATCTTAATAGATTATTCACGTTGCAAGCAACACAGAGCGAAATGTTATGACAACCATAAGAATGTAGTTTACTGTGGCTTAATGTGCCTGGGCAGTGCAGGGTAAAGCCATCAAAAAGATATATTTAATTTTTTTTTAAGTTTCCGAGAGAAACTAACTGATGTGGACATGCAGCTATTTCTCTATAGAACCCTGACTTTTGGCAAACTCTTTCCAGGCTCTAATAGAAAATGCTTACTCTTTTTATTAGTAGCAGTATCGCAGTGCCAAATGAAAAATCATATGCTTCCCCACTTGGAAGCTTTCTTGCAAGCTGATGTGTGAGCTGATGTAACAGGAATCTTCTACAAAGCACCCATGTCCCAAACAGGGCAGCCAGTTGCTGGCTGTTGGATGCAATACTCCTCAGGAAAAAGAAGAAAAAAAAAAAAAAAACAACAAAAAAAAACTTTCATACTTGGGCAGGATGGAGTCCTTGTGTCTTTTTCCATGAATGAATGAGTGAATGAATGACTATCAATGCCGAAATTTGATCTTGCTGCAATCCTAGACATTTGGGTTTCACCAGGCGTGTATACATATACCAGAAGGATCTCAGTGTTTTGGGAAAGAACTGCAGTGTGCTGTGGAGGAAATACACGGGGATAGGGTTAACTGCTGTTGTGGATTGGGAAGCAAGAAATGTAGCTGTGAATCTTACTCATGACATTAGACTGGAAACCATAGAGGCAAGGGCTAGATGCAGCCTTCATTTTAGAGCACAGAGGTTCCTCTGTGGGAGCCGGAGGGGAGATGGGTGCATAAGCTGGTAACTTTAACAACCTGGAATTCAAAATATTCCTGACCTAAAACTCCAGGCTGAAACATGTATGGGCTTGGGGGAAAGCTCAGCTCCAGCCTTGGCTCAGGCCCCTCCTGTTGAGATTTACAGTGCTGAGACTGATGCCATGCTGATTTTAACCACTCGGCGTCCCATCATGATGGCTGACAAAATGACATGACATTAGTATGGGATTTCAGCTGCAGGCAGGGAAAATGTAGTTTAGAGTATGAAAACCAGCTGTGCTCTTATTCATTCGGGCTGCAGGTCAGGGAAGAACAGAGACTCCCACCCAAACCAGAGGGCTAGCTTGGGCCACGCATGAACTGTGTGTTTGGGTGAGCACGGGTGGCTGGATTGATAAAGAGTGACCCAGAGAGATAAATACACATACAGAGGAAAATAAGAAGAGATAATGTATTGGCGTAAGTTGCAGTATATTTCCTCCTAGTGATGAAAGACTAAGAGTGAGTTATAGATCTTTCCTCATGATAAGAACAGATATTTCTTTCCAAATCATTTATATCTATAAGATACTGAGATATTATTTAGGCCTGTGTGTGTTTTCAGCGATAGATAATGGTGGAAGGTGCTACAGTGCTGGTGCAGAGACACTGAAGGGAACAGAGTCAGCAGTGGCCAAGTCCCTCCAGATATGAGTTCTGCCAAGCATCATAGGGCTGAACAAGACTTAAACGTGCTCCAAACAAGACCAATGCACTCTTTTAGAGAGGGTGGAGGTGGAGGGTGGGAGAAGTGTGCTCGCCTTCCCACCCAGCTCGCCAGCTGGGGGCCTTCACTGCTTACCTGGTGGCAGAGAGGCTTGTGCAGGGAGCTTCCATTAATTCATCCCTTGACATCTCCATCACAGGCGTTTAGCAGCTGGAAGTGTGGTAAAACATACCGCTGGAGGTTTCATCCATAGCTCTTGCGGATGAGGGATTAATTTTTATTGTAAAGAGTTCAGAAGAAAGAGGGCATATTTATTCTAGCGTCGCAGGTAAACATGATATGGCTATTTATACATAACCAGAGTTTAAATCTTCATTTGTTCAGGTCCTTAATGTATGAGCAGCAATTGCTCTAAGTGTTACAAGATCTGTTTACTGCTCTGGGATATTATTAACTTTAAAAAAAGGATGCCTGTGTGGAGAAAACAACCTTACCTGACAACTTTGATGTAAGAAGAGCCTTCTCCCTTTGACTGCTCCAGCGACGCTGCGGCGTGATGTGGGTGCGCTCAACCCTTTCATCCCTTCAGTCAGTGCTATATAACATTTACATGTCTCAGAAATATGACATATGTACAGTACACGTGTGAGAGGGTGGGTAGACTAGTCTTTCAAAGATTATTCAAAAAAGCAGGATGTTTTTGTCAACCGGGAGAGATTAGAGTACTTTATTTTACAGCTAGAGCAGAGAAATATTTTTCATGTGATTAGAAAAAAACGTTATTATTAAAATACTTATTTACTTATTCATTTAAATTAATGCAGACCTATTCCTGACCGGAAGTGGTACTGAGGGGCCAGGCTGCGCCCCGTGAGGGGGCCGCCGGAACCCTCTGGAACCTTCTGGAAGCGGACGGGGCCTCTCCTCACAGAGCCCCACGGCCGATGCCTGGAGCCCTGCAGAGCCCAGGAGGACGGATCCTGTCCCAGGGAGCACAAAGGAGCTGCTTTGTGAACGCCAGCAGGTATCTCCCAAACGAAGGAGGCCTTAGGTGGGCGGAGAGGGTAACAAATGCAGGGAGCTGTGAGATGCTTGTGGGTCAAGGGGACTCATGTTTCTGCTGAGCAGTCGGGTGTATCTTCACCTTCTGTAACCTCAGCTGGAGCCTTTGCTGTCATGCTTTCCCCCTGCTAAACCCTTGCTTTTGAACCTTAAGAGAAATCTTTACGGTGGTCAGTAAATCCTAATGTTGTCCTTGTTCTGTTTTATGAGATTTCCAGTGACACGTGGCTTCGGAGATTTGCCACTTGGTGGATCTAACAGCTCTGAGGACATAGTGGACTTGGGATGGGGCAATATCAGCTCTCCCTGTTTTGTGTAAATGAACTTCAGATTCTCTATGTTAACATGCTAATAAGGAAATCTTGTGTTCCCACACTGTTCTTCTCACACTGCTGACCTGACCTCTTTAATCCTAGCTTTCCTGAAGGAAAAGCTGATCCATCAGGCCTCCTGTATCTAAAATGGGATGAAAGGAAATGATGGACCTATTTCTATGCTGGTGTTTCTCTGGTACCTCAAGCTGTCTTGTTCTTTTTGTATTCATCTCTCATTTCCCTGGGAAGGAAAAAAAAGGAAGGAAAAAAAAAACTAGATGTGAGGGCTCAAATCACTGAAGATGAGAAACAGCAAAAGGAAATAAAGAGGTCACACACCTAAGTTAGCTTATGATTAAAAAGAAATTAGTGGGTCTATTTTTAATTTGTTTAAATATATTACTTTCTATTAAAAAGGTCTTTATATTTCACTAAGTATGAGATGAAGTGTGTCACCAGAGGAAGATTTTTTAGTTTTAGTCTCTTTTCTCTTAAAGAATTAGAAGTCAAAGAAACTCCACTGAAGTCACAGATGTGAAGCCAGCTGAAAAGACAGAAAAGCTGGCACCTTTCCTCTACAGTACTGTGCAGTTGCCTTGTGGTGTGGCCAGTTTGCAAAGATTTAGGGAAGAAAAACATAACCTGTGCACAACAGTTATGTTGTGGGAAGGTCCATGGTACCGTGCAGTCACCCCAGATATTCAACCACCCAAGGTTGTGCAGCCTTGAGAAGTAAAATGCTGCATCCCTGCGCTCAGACCCCTCTGCAGGCATTTGAGCCCCAGGCCAAGGAGCTGGTGGAGGCCAAGGTGCATCGCTTATATGAGTTGTGCTGCCAGAGCTTATGGCTTTTTTCTTTAAATCCACCAGGCTATGGATATTTTCAGACTGCGGCTGACAGAAATTAGAAGGGATAGTTGTAAATGAAGTTTTGTTACACCAGAAGTCTATGATGGAGCTTTGTTTTTTTATTAACATATGAACTCAATGGCAATCCAGCTACCCTAAGACTTCCACGGAATTGCTTTTTGCTTTTTTTTTTCCCCTTATTTTTTATTTTAATTTATTTTTATTTATTTATTTTTTTCCCTCTATATTTTCACTTCTGGAAAATCTCTGTTGTTAAAAGGAGAGCCTTGAAAATGAACATAGCAATTGGGTTAGTCTCCATAAACCTGTGAGGCTATAAGGCAAATGTACTTTTTTTTTTTTAATAAATAAAAAAGATTTATTTAGGAATCTGTCAAAACCCTCCAAAACAAATGCAAACACCCTCAATTTCTTGTTTCATTCCCAGCTGGACAGTCAGGCCAGAATCACTGAACATTTCACCAAGTCTTGCTAACCTTCTGAGCTGAGTTGTGAGAAATTGTTCTTGACATCACATGAGCTGGGCCACAAGGCAGGACTAATGTGATATTTGCTGTCGAAGGTTTCCTAGGAAACATGCTACTGAGAGCACTCGGACCTCCCTGACACCCTTCCCACGTCCTCCAGTTTCACTGGTTCCCACAGGTTTTGCAGAGGGCAGCGATGTCCCCTCTGATCTCCCGACACCCTCAGTGCAGACCCCCCTGCGGTGCAATGCTTCCCAGCAGCTCCACGCACCCAGCTGAGCAGAGAGTGGATGCAAAGTTTTTTGAAACTAATTGCCCTATTTTCCTTTGATTTATCCCTTTCCCTCTTTTATTTTTTCCTACAGCCTTCTGCAATTGGAGAGTCGAGAGAAACTGAGTTACATCCTGCAAGACAAGCTGGAGAGAAGGAATTTTTAGTGCTCCTGGCAACCTTTCCTTCCAAAGAGGAACTGGTGGAAAAAGGTTAGGAAAATCAACAGATAACTTAAAACTTAACTTGCTGTGAGGCTCGTACTCTTTTGACTGCATTTTGCAATATGGTAGCTATTATACTGCATAATCGATAGGGATTTTTCAGTTTAATGGGGCTCCCCAATACGCAGTTTGATCTTGTGGCTGTAAATGCTGTCCTTGCCATCAGGCTCACATAAATGATCCCTGTCATTCAGGCCAAACTTTTCAGCTTCACCATTAGGAGCTGCAGGATAGTTCCCATTGAGGGTGAGATGAATGGAATTGGTTCACACATGTTAACCAAATGCAAATCCTTAGATGGAAACTCATGGTCAGCTTTTTCCAATGCTATTTTCAGAACTTCCACAAAAGACTGTGCTGTGATTATATGTATTCATGATATGTATATCATGTATTCAGCTCAAACAATATTTGAATGATGCATTTAGAATTCTTCCTAAAAAAGGACCATGCTTCTGTAAACTGCATCATATTTGTGAAGGGAGAAAAAAAATCTAGCTTGCTTTTCCTTTCTTCCTCTCTTTCTTTATAAGATATCATTTCATAAGGCTGTAAGAATTGGTGTTAATGCTACACTACACACAGACACACTTCTACATAATCACATGCATTTGCATGTGTGCCATACATAAACAACCTTATGGAATCCCTGCTCTTCATTGTTAAGTTTGACTCGGTATTTTTCAAAGCAAAGAAGCCCTGGGCATCCAACAGTTGCTTTTTTACTCTTTGACTGGACTGCACAGCAAATAGAGACAAGAAAATAAAGCACTGTTTTATTTTTTATTGTGGGTGGGGTTTTTTTGTGTGTTTTTTTTTTTTTTGGTACGGGCTTATTTTTTTTTGCCTACCTGGCCATTTACAACTACCTGTTTTCCCCCCTTTCGTTTCCTCCACTGATAAAACACCACTTTTTTGAATCTGTCATTAAGTGTCCTTTGTGCTGCCAATATTGATTTCTCTAACCCCTTGAAGGCCAAGAGTGTCACCTCCATGATGGTCCCTGCAACCACTGACTCGGAAAACAGGAGAACTAAGGTTGCTGCTGCCAGACATTGGTTTCCAAATGGTAGGCAAGAAGACAAGTAGCCTTAAGTCACTGGACTGTCTGATTCATTTATCTCCATGATGACGTTCACTTCACCTTACCCTGTGTGTGTAGTGAAGCTGTTTGGTCAACATGCCCTTTGGGCCTTGTCTTAGTGATGAAAGTTCAGAGAGTGGAAGAGAAATTCTGCTCTGGATTCTTTAGCTCTATGCTCTATGCCAGCTTCTGATGGCATCCAGAAGATTGTGATGCTTTTTGGGTATGCTTTCATATTGTGAATGGGTATGCTTTCAAGTGAAGTATTTGCTGTGTCTGCAAAGCCAGATGGACTTCACCTGTGTAAATCTCGGTAGTATTTGTGTCTTTGTAGTCAGAGAAGGAAGACCAGTGATACTCTTCTCTTTCTGTTCAATCTCAGAAAAGTTTCTGCCAAGCATTCAGGCCGTTGGACAGATGATGTCCATCAGCTTCAGAGGAACAGCAGCAGTTTAGCTGAGAGTCTGCATACAAGTCTTAGGTCTATAACAATTTTACAAATTGGCATTTTTCATCGTAGAGTCATGCTTTTCTTGTGTGAAGGCAATGGTGGATTTGCAAAGCAGTCTGTACCTGTAAGATACCATCATGAAACCACACTGCTCATAGAAAGCAGAAGCAGAACTTTCCTAAATTACGGTGGAATGTCCAGTATGACTCTGGTGGGTCACCCAGACAATTTGCCCATTTTCAGAGCACTTTAAGAATGTCAGTCCTCGAGGTACCATGTATAATATATGTCAGGGGAAATTGTTATCCCCCATTGCCAGCTGAGGAAGGGAGGAAAGGAGATTACAAAACCACTACTTGAGTTACTGCTGGCGGCAGGACTGGAATTTGGGATTTCCTGGACAGATTAGCACCCTTCACTTCTCTCTTAGTTGGTATAATTAGCAGTGTCCTAGGACTCTTATTCCCATGCAAGAACACATTTGAATACAATTTTCTTTGAAATTTTCTGTCTTGGGGTCAGTCCTGTTGTGCACTTCCGGCTATAAATGATCTGTTGTCTGCAGTGAAATGCTCGCTACTACTTTGCAAATCATGAACAGATGTAAAGGTGACCATTTGTGACTACTGATTTAATCTCTCTGGATTTCTGAAATTGGCTACCTGTAAAACTTGGGGACCATGTCTTGGAAAAATCAGTCCTTTGTGGCTGTTGAATTTTTTTGTTCTTGGCTGGTAGCCACTGAGAGCGATGTCTTACATCCTTGAGATGAACTTAGTGCAGTCCTCATTGACCTAGCAAGCCATTTTTTCCCTGATGACAAGCTGGGATCACATTCTGTAATGACTGCTGCAAGATTGTCTTGTTAGGGAAAGGGCTAAGGTGGGATCGTCTTTAATGACAATGAAAGCACCTCATAAAATCTGATTCTTCAGTTTTACAGGCATGGCTCTAGAATTTTAGCCGATGCAGACTTAGTAAATCAGTCAGTCAAAAATTATATCAGTTGAAGTATAATGTTCATGGCAGTCCAAAAACCTGAACATGTAGGTGATTTGGAGGGCATTTTGTTAACTCTTTAATTGGTCGTTTGAGTGCTGGAGGCAGTAGCTAATTGCCTGTAGGTCAGAATAGTCCTAGAGCTTAGGTAAATGTATATTGTCATATGTCACATTTTCATATGGCTCCTTTGCACAGGTTGGTAAAAAAGATTGCTGCATAATTAAAATTAAGACAAGGTGGGAAAAGTGATTCAATTAGACCCCTGAAGCCATTGCACAAATTATGTGAAGTACAAAAAACTAATGAATAGTTATAACTAGTTTTATCCTTTTACTCTTCATTCTTGAATCCTGAGGGTATTAAAATGGCTGGAGTCTCTCTCCAAGTTCTTAGAGGTAAGTTTTTGGGTGGGCAGCACAAGTATGAGTCAGCGCATAGGAATCCAGGCCTTTTAAAATACAAGCACACAGAAACTTTGTTGCCTAGTTGTTTTGAAGTGAAAATAACCAGACCTTACGCACAAGAGACCTTTTGGTTTCTCCACCAGCCCAGTATTATTTTGAAAACATCTGCAATATTTCACTCTGCATGCAGCAGGTATTATATACCAGGGAGGGTGATGACAGTAAAAATAAATGAGATATGTTGTAACCAAAACATCCCAAGTTTTACATCATACATTTCACAACCCTAGCAAGCATCCTGTGCTTTGACTTGAAGGCTAAAGGCATGTGGTAGTTTTACAAATGTCTATTAGTATTAACAAATATGTTCCATTATTAGACAGTGTGCCACTGACCCAACCTCCTGGTGCAAGAGGTGAGTTAATATGGCTTATAAAATATAAGAGTGCTGCAGGCACAAGCTTTGGAAATAAGAGCCCCAGCTAAGCAGGAGGTCTCATTACATTTGGTGGGACAACTTACTAGAGGCCTGAACATAAGTATAAAAGCTGCCTCCCAGCTAAGGCTTTTTATGGTTCCTGTCCTTTCCCAGAGCAGTATGACTTTAGGAGGTTTAGAACAACAAGGTCTGCACCCTTGTATACCGGCAGCGTGCTAATTCTGACTAATGTTAAAATGAGAGGTAAATGAACGAATTTAAGATAGAGATGTTTGCACTATCGTCACATTTTTTAACAGATTTTTTTTGATGGTTGAAAGTAGTGCGGCAATTAGGAGATGTGCCCTTGCACTTTTTTTTTCTTTTTCCCTCTTTGCTGTAAGCCATAAACATCTGTTTCGGGGAAACTTGTAGTGTTTCTTGGCCAGGGTTGCCAGGATTGTGAGGTGCACGCAGATAGGACCCAATACTCTGAAACTATATAAACAGCACTCCTTGTGAGGAAATCAGACAGTCTTGCTAGTCTTGATTAGAGCAGATATTGTCCTGAAGGATTTTTAAAATGTACCCTAATAGAGATGGTTTCCAGTCATCCAAGTAGAGTTGTCTGTAGGCATTGCTCCTTGCAGAGGAGGCATAGATGAAGAACACAATAGGGTCTTTTCTTGCTTCCACCTCTTTGAATGTTATCCTCCCTCTGCCTTTGAAAGTAACAGTTATAAAGCCTATTCTGTTGCTTAGCCAAAGCTTAATCAGAAGCTGCAGTTAGGATCTAATTTATTATCACAGGTAACACGATCATCTAAGTACTGGCTTTATCAAGCCAAGGAAATCCCTGCTGAGGACCAGGATGATTCAGGGTATAGTAGGTTATGAAAATATGATGATGTCAACTCACTAGATTAGTCCTTCATCAATGGGTAAAGCTTTTTTAGGTAGAAAAAATAAACCTCCATGAAGATTTCTGTGGACCAAACTCCCAAGAGATGCAGAGAGCAAAGTAGAGAAATGCAGGAGGTGTTCAAATCATGTGAGGTCTCCACTTTTCCCATGCTTCCTAGTGGAAAAGCAAACAGCAAAACATTGTCAGGGCTGTCCTAAAAAGGCAAAGTTGTGGATGGGCAAATGTCTCTCCTCGTGTTGCAGTCTTCCCACCAAAATACTTTCTTCATTCTTTTTTAATGTGTGTTCAGCATAGACTGCTGGCAATGAGAGACAGAATTTCCACTCTTTTTTATCTCTAATTCAAGAATAACACTGCTTATATGATCAAGCAGGGTGTTCCTCTGTAGCCTTTTCTATATACCTTTGGCCTGAGACCACCCAAATGACAGGTAAAGAATTGCTTGTCACCGGACTAGGTTTTCCTTCCAGTACAAGGCATGAGCAGCAGTGTGTAATTGCTTCCTTTTATGCATGCAGATTGAGATTTTTAGAAGACTAGCAACAAAAGCCAGATTATAGTTGTGGTTTTTACCAGGAGAGCACTGAAATGCCCACTTTTGCATATAGGAATGTGGAAATGATTCAAGAGTGTTTGTGATGCCTTCGTGGATTCCACACACACACACACAGACATATATACAATATTGTATTACTTTTATATAG